TGTGTGGGGAGGGGCCCCTGGTGGTGGTGTGGATGTGGGTGACTCCCTGTTCCTAACCTGGCACACTGCAGTACCCCAGGCTCTCTGTAGTGTTCCAACACCCAGGAAAAAACATTTTCCCAGCTGCTTCCAACAGGCCAAAAGTGATAATTGGGGAGCCGAAAGAGTCAGGGTCCTGGGTGAGGCAGTCCTACTGTGTATTAATTCACTGGCCCCTTCGTGTGCAGAGGCTCCGCTGGAACCCGGGGAGAGCCTGCCTTGCGGAAGGAGACACACACACATCTCTGCCTGTAACATGGGGGCAGACACGAAACATAGGCTCAGCTCACAGATAGGCTCACAGGAATCTGTGATGCAAGAAGGGGGTTGAGAAAATTGACTGGGCTGACCAGAGCTGGGTGCGGTTATACTCAGATTTTCTGGAAGAGGCGAATGTGAAGCAGATTGTCCCCCTGAGGAGGCAGGGCCAGGGAAGTGAAGGGGCTGTGGGGAGAAAACCCCTTGGGAACTGTGGCCCCTGATCTTTCTGGCTCTTACTCTGTGAGCTCTGTTGATCCCTCCCTTCCTGTCCTCCTTCCTCGTTGTCTGATCACCCAGCAGGGTGTCTGCCCCGACTTTTTGAGCTTGGCAGGTTCAGGGACACATCTACCATGACCCACTCCCATCACATCACCCTCACATCCCCTTTGGCCCTTCCAGGTCCCGGGCCTCCTCTGAGAGTGAGTTGGACGATGAAGGCCCTTGTGGTGGTGATGGGGACCCAGGCCTGTTCCCCTTCCCCCTGCCCCGGGGTGGTGCCCAGGCCTCCAGCGAGGAGAGTGAGGAGGAGGGGACATCTGATGACCTCCACCTCCCCACTGACTGCCATTATGCAACCCGACCCCCTCGGCCGCAGGCGGTAAGGACCTGGGGCAGGGACCTGGGGGTGGGGGGCCAGTCCTCCTGGCCCACAATGTGGGGAGGAGGTCAGATCCTACGTGAAGGTGCCCTCCCTGTATTTCAGGCCCCTTTAACCATGTGCCTTCCTTCCGCCTCCAGTTCTGCACCTTTGGGAGCCGGCTGGTGAGTCCAGGATGCTATGTGTTTAGCCGCCGGCTGGACCGGTTCTGCTCGGCATTGAGCTCTATGCTGGAACGGCACCTCAGCTCACACATGTGGAAGTGAGTCTCTCGGCCCCAGAACCTCCCTTCCCAGGCCCCAGGCATACACGGGCTTCAGAACCCTTAATTCGTCACACATACCTATAGATGTGGCTTGGCTGTTTGCCAGGAAGACCCCAGGTAGGGTGAAAAGGAGGTGGGGAAACTTGGCAGCCTGGAGCTGGGCTAAGGCAGGACCTGAATGGGTCGCCTGGGAGTGAATCTTAACTCTCACCAATCACTTCCAGTACCTTTTGGGTAAGTAGGGATAGGGGATGTCCAACCTGAGATTTAAAGTGAGGTTTTTAAAGGGTCTGTATATTAGTTCATTCCTGCCTTTCCCTGTGCCTTCTTCCTATCCCTCAGTTCCAGCGTTTCCCAGCAGAGGGCGGCACTGCCAGGGCTCTGTGGGCCATTTCTACGTGGGTGGAAAGACTTGTATGTTGGTGGGGAGGCCCTCTTGCTTGCTTGGCGTCACAGTGGGTCTCTCTCCTTGCTGCAGGAAGATCCCCCCGGCGGCTGAGCCTCCATCCCACCTTGTCAGTTCCCCGCCATCTGCTCCCCTGAGCCCATCCTCTACGGGCAGCTGCCCCCGCCTTCCAGGC